AGCCATTTGAGATTGGAATGAATTACCCCAGACATACCAGGGTGCATTTTCTCCAAACCAACATAACCCAACTTCATCATCAAATTCTCACACCCAATTCAAGCTTCACTAGTTACGGAACTGTGTCCATGATAGCAAAAATAGCCAGTTAGCATCATGTGCTGCCCCTCATTTTCATGTGTCCTGTCTTTAGTCTGACAGTTGCCTAGTCATTCCTTGACTTTCGTGACCCTGACACTATAGAACTTTCAAGACCAGTTGTTGTGTAAAGTCTCTGTTGTTTCCTGTATTTTAGAGTCAGATTATTCATCTTGGTAAGAATACAACAGAAATGGAGTAGTGCCTATGGCTCAAAGGAGTAGGGCGCTGGCCCCATATACCAGAGGTGGCGGGTTTAAACCTGTCCCCCCGGCCAAAAAAAAAGTACAACAGAAGCAATGCTTCCTTCTCTCCATCGTATCACACCAGATACATGATGTCAATATGTCCTATTTTGTGGGGAAATATTTTGAGACTCTGAACATATCCTATTCCTCACTAGCCTTTCCTTTAACTTATCTGTTTGTTTATTTATTTATATCCGCATAGATTCATGAATTCCTAGTTTATTCACTTAGATACAATATTGTATTATCATAAGGTATTTTAATGTTTAAGTTCAGCTGGTTAGTTAATGTCATGCTCAAATTTGGCCACAGGCTAGTAATATCTGTGTTCTTAGATCTGTCCTCATCCTTCTCTGACATTTTTCTGAGCAGTATATCAATCACTCTTCTATCTTTCTTTCTGTCTGTCTGTCTATCTATCTATTTTTCTTTCTATCAATCTGTCCATCCTCCCATCTATCATCTTTACTTTTTTTTTTAAAGACAGTCTCATTTTGTCACCCTCAGTAGAGTGCTGTGGCATCACAGCTCACAGCAACCTCCAACTCTTGGGCTTAGGCAATTCTCTTGCCTCAACTTCCCAAGTAGCTGGGACTACAGGCACCCACCAGACCACCCAGCTATTTTTTGGTTGCAGTTTGGCCAGGGCCTGGGTTCAAACCTGCCACCCTCAGTATATGGGGCTGGACCCTACTCATTGAGCCACTGGTGCTGCCTTTCATCATCTTTGCTTTATCTTTCTCTGTCTTCTGCATATTTTCTCTAGCTCTGTCCAAGCCTAGAAATAGCAAGTCTCCAAGAACAAGGGTCGCACCTAACACTCAGATGTCTACTGAAAAATGCTAGTGTTTTCTGGAAAAATGGGTGTTTTCAGAGCTGGGGAAAAAGGTACAAAATGAAACAGAAACAACTTGTTGAACCAGACATAGGAAATAAGTTAATATCACACACACATGCATGCATTTAGATTTACATTTTATATTTTGGAAATGAGGAATGTTTGCCTATATTGTTAATTCTAGCCCAACGCTATAGAGTTCATTTCCGTGTTTGTAATTCTTATGATGAATATTGAGAAACTTGGTTTCCCAAGTAGGGGCTATATTTACCTTTTGGTCAGCCTCCTCTTATGAAATCAATCACCTGTCTCTGCCTCTTCCCTCTCTCCCTGCACCGACACCTTCCTCACTCCCCTTGGGCTCTGACTGCTCATGTCCTTGTCATCCACCAGGGGATCCACGTCCCTCACTGGGTCACCGTGGCTCACCGAGTCCTACTGTGGACGTTGACCTTGCCAGGCCCCACCTAAAACATTTTGTACTGAATTTTTTGTACTTTTAAGGAAAGGAAAGAGAAGAAGAGAGAACCAAATAGAAAATCTGCATAGAAAATAAACCCTGGAGAAACAGGACACAAATGCTCAGGCCCACTGAGGAATTCTGAACTATTCAGTGCGTGTTGGCCCTTAAATGCCAAGAGCACAGAGCACGGGGATGAAGTATAGAGGGACTCTGAGACAATTAAAATATTTTCAAAAACACCAAATCTTCTGAAATTGCTGTCCTTAAAGCTCTCAAGTCACTCCGATGTCTATCTATGTAAAATCAGTAGATTAGCCCTTTCTCCCAACCAACAAAGTCACGGCCCGTAGGTTTAGCATTTGAATCCTTGGCACTGCCTTTGCTTCTCAGTTGCTTATGATAATATTTAGAATCGTGTTGAGAGCAAGCCTGCTGCTATGGAAAATTTAAATTTTATTTATTACTTGCTTTTGTGATTAACTTGTCAACCTTCACATTCCCAAGATCACAGTGTGAAGGGCTTCGTATTTATTATCCCTCAAAAATGCAGTATGCAAAAATGTTCCACAAACCTCTCTGACCCAGGGAAGTCTTCTGATTATAGATTTTCTTATGGGTTTGCTCTGGTTTTTTGCCTTTAACAGCATCTAAATTGCCTTAAATTTCCTTGCCTGGATTGAAAGCATGTCTAAAGTGTATTTCAAAATTTACCAAAACATCCTCATGAAATCATCAAATCAGACCAATCAAAATACAACTTAAACATATCCTACAACAGATGCCCTGTATTTGAATTTGAATGTACACTTGAGTTGGTATATATAGTTGATCTCAGCCACCGAATTCTCATGAGGTTTCCACAGAAAATGAACAGATGCTTCCCACAGTAGCTGTGGGGCACTGTCTACTCAGATGAATACTTTCTTTAAGAATAATCATGGCATCAAATACAAAATTTATAAAGCCGAAACGTTAATATTTTTAACCTTAATTCTTTATAGTCTACATTTCAGATCAGTCACATAAAATAAAAATGGCACCTTGTATCCAGGAACTGAAAAACAGACTCTGAATAGACTACCAGAGAATAGTCTAGGATAATAACACCTCTTGTATTTCTGTTGTACTCATACGTCTTTAAAACATTTTTCTGTAGTGCTTTCTTATTTGCTCCTCTGAACAGCATGATAATTATAAAAATCCTGGCCTATGTACTTTAAGGATGAGTTCCCTGTGCCCTGATTTGCTCAATCACTGGATATGGTACTTTCAAGAAACTGCGCCTTCTGCACCCCACAGAATAAAGAAAGGGAATTGGATCAGACTGAGACTTCTTATCATCTTCCGTGCCAGGGATGTCTTTGGTAGTCTGGTCAAGCCTACGGCCCTTCTAAGAATAATGTCTTTACTTACCAAATAAAATAAAATATATAAGATTATAAATAAAATATTACATATAAATTCAGTTCTTAAAGCAAGTTTATGAAATGGTAGGATGTGTGTTTACGAGACCATGAAAGAAAAAGGACCAGCGGTCCATCTGCAGGTGTGGAGATTTTAACATGATGATGAGTGCACATGGCACTTGGAGGAGACTTCAACAACTCTAACGTGATTTTAAGACATCCCTGATTTCTACAGGTGACAGGTACTGCTAATAATATTGTGGTTCATTGCCTGTATTCATCATTAATGGAAATGCTAAATTTAAATTACCAACTAGAGAAGTGTTTTTATATGCAAATTACAAATGCCCTGAGTTCTATCCATAAGACGATTTCAAAGAAACTTTCCAACAAAACATGTTCCGAGACTTTTACGAAAGCTCCTGCTAGTTAGGTGGGTTAGGTGGGTGGGTGCACGTCCCATTCTGTTCCGAGTGTGGCCCATGGAACGTGGGCAGAAGCAGCACCACGGGAGCTGGTCAGAAATCCAGGAGCTCAGGCTCCACCCCAGACCTCCGGAACCAGAATCTGCGTGTTTACTAGATCCCCATGTGACATGAGTACATTCGTGTTTTAGAAGTGCTGATTTACATGAAGTTGCTCAGCCTGTCTGGGTGCTTTTCAGCTGAGATCAAACCGAAGGCCTTAGAACTCCTCAGGTCTACAGCGAACGTCTATTTCTAATGTCTACTTACACTCCAAGTCTAAGAAGTTGGTGACAGGCCTACCAGCAAGGAGAGCAGTGCCCTAGGACACATGTGGAGATTTTAGTAGAAGATTTAGGTTAAGCATTATTTAAGGATCAATAATTGATTGGGTTTGGATTGTCTTTGAGACTTGAAGAGCCCCAGGCAGAGAGTTTAATTGAGCAAAAGCAAACTGTCTCTGAAAAGTGAGGGAGGAAAGGGAACAAGCCTGACTCCACTATCTGCCCGCACAGAAACATAGTCGCGAGTTTCACTTTATTAAGTACAGGCCAGGTTTGTCTCTATGGTTTGGTTTCCATAGCACAGTCAAGGTTCTTGTGAGTGTGTGTTTTTCACTTTTCTTGAGCCAGTTTTATAGATATATAAAATATTGAGCAGTGAGTGCCTTTAGACCTGAATCACGTCTGTGTGGAGGAAGAAGCACTTCCTAACGCGCTTCAAGTGGAATTTCTCTAACAGAAATTTGAATGCAGTGTATGTATTTTTCGAGCACATACCTTGTACCAGGTAGTGGAAATTTGGGGATTAATATAATACTATCCTTACCATAAAAGAACTGTCAGTTTATTTCAGGAACCAGGCAAAAAAACAAAAAACAAAAAACAAATCATTGCCTATAATGGCATGTTCAGTTCTACGATAGAAACAAAGCCTATGACACCGGGATAAGAGGGTTGCACAGAACTTTAAGTTCCCGTTTTCTCTTTCA